CACACATCCCCATACCCCGGCACCCCGGGCACCCCGGGGAGGCCCGCGCCATGCACAGGTGGCAGCGACCCAGGGAGGCGCAGGGCGAGCATGAGCAAACGTTCGTGGTCAATCCTGGTTTGCACTTTATTTCCTCGACGGCTCCCAGCGCGCCCCGGGGCCTGGGAGGGTCTCGGCTGAGCTCAGCACCCCTGCTCCCGGCAGTCCGCGGACACCCGGTGCCCTAAGGGCCGGTCTGTGTAGCTCTAAACAGAAGTCGCACGGTACTGCCCAGGCCCGGGCCACGAGGGTCACCGACCCGGCCCAGCTCGCTGAGCCTGTCTCCCCGGGCTGGGTACCAGGGTGCGTCCTCCCAACTGGACTGTAAGCGGGCTGAGGTGTGCACGGGGCAGGACACAGGACGGGGCGCAGTGAGGCCCCGTGAAGCAGGAGAGCGCCCCCTGCCGGCCTGGCGTGCGAACTGCGCGCCTTCGCGGGCCTGGGTTTCCGCATCTGCGAAACCTGGGGGTTGCACCAAAGCTCCCCCCCAGGTCTTTTCTAGCACTAAAGCGGTAAATCCTGAGCAGCTCTTCACGCACTCGTGTGCAGCTTTGCCGGTTCTCTGCGCTCTCTTCCATTTCTGGGCTCTCATCTTTTACTGTGATGATAAAACATCTTCTCCCTACCTCCCTGCCCACGATCCTAGCACAGCCTGTGACTCCCTGGCAGGGATGGGGGGTCTTCTCCTGCTTCTCTGACAGTTCTTTTCTGTCCCATCTGGCTTCCTCTTTCTCCCCCAACCCCCAGCTACTATTCATTTCCCAGTTTGCCCTTGGCCCCTGGGCTCAGCCCATGTTGCACCATACCTGTGCCTCCTGCTGTGAAGGGCCCCAGGCCTCACCTCCAGCAGGTTCCTAGTGGGGCCCCTGCACTTCCCCTGGCTCCTCAGACTGACCTGTCCACTCTCTCCCCACCCCACACCCCTACCTGCCACTCCTCATTCCTTCCCTGCCTCAATGGTGCAGCCAGGGAAGGGCAATGTTCTAACACCAGTAATTAGAATGGTGAAGCCACTGACAGAAAAAGAGGACCTCTGATTTCAGAAAGGGAAGGGATTTCTAAATCTGATTTTCTGTGGGTTAAGTTTATTTCAAAATCAACATTAGTCCAAAATGGATCAGAATGTGAGTTCAGATAACCTTAGTCCCTGGGTGTGGAGTGCTTGTAAAAACATTCTTTCCTTAAAGCTCCAATAAATGAACAGGAGTCAGGGTTTTTCTTACTTGATAGATAAGGAAGTGAAGGTGTAGACAGTATAGAATTTACAGCTAGTAAGAGCTGTGAAGACTATTGAGGAATCCAAGACCTCCATGCTCCAGGCGGCTTCCTACATCAAAGTCACAGCTTAAAAGCCCCTGTAATCTTGGCATTCTAAAATGTTATATGTAACAGTTTCAACACTTGCTCCCTTTATCTGCCCCCAAGCCTAAAGGAGTGACCCACATTATTATAGTACTGATGCTTTGGATCAGATTTTCTTATTTTATAGCAAGTAGGACTGAAATAAAGCTCACTCACTGTGTTCAGAACAGTAAAAATGTCAACGATGACAAAAAGATTTCTGCTTCAATTCTAAGAAGACGGGCACACTAGAATCTGAACGCATTTCAATCCTAGCTCCCTGTTTTACTTAACTGAGACCCTGACCATGTCTTTTTTTTTTTTTTTTTAGCTCTTTCCTTAGTTTTCTAATCAGGTTGGCCTAGTCCCCATAGAACTTTACATTTCCGTACAATTGGCAGGCTTCTTGGTAAAATAGAGAAATACAGAATAAAATGTGTTTTATTTGTTTCTTGCAAAATGCCCTTAGTATGTGAGATGGGGACACACAACCCATACTTGACCCAGAGTGGCAGTTGGATCTATAGCCCACACGACAGAGCTCAGCCCAGATCCTGTGATAGGTCAGGGAAACAATGACAAATTGGAGTTTCTGCTCTTAGATTACAGGATCTACACAGGTAAGTGCTTAGGATATAGTGCAGTGAACAATATTAAGGATAGAAAAGACTGAGCAGGGGCTGCCCAGTGACCAGGGTGTCTTGTTCCTGGGAGGCAAATATTAGGAGGTGAGCTGACTGGTCAGAGGAAGCAAATTCGGAGCTCAGTGGAGAGCACAGAGCATTTGCCCATCAGCAATCCCCATCTCTCCTGGTACCTACAACCCTTCTGATGTACACAGAGCCAAGGCCCACGGTGGCTCTGCCCAGTACCTACGGCTCCAGCTTCCTTGGCACGGGCGCCCCGTCCGAGACACAGCTGCACTTCTGCACCCTCATGTTGGGCAGGCTGACCACCTGGGGCCGGGGCCTGCCTCCCTCCTTGATGCTGACAATCATGGGCAGCGAGGTCGTCTCTGAGGCGATGCACTGCCGTGGCCCCAGAAACGGCCACTTGAAGGTCAGGGCCTCTGGGAGCTGCTGGCAGGTGCCCACACACTCATAGGCCAGGAAGCCCGGGGGCTCCAGGACCCAGTTCTCAGCCCACTTCATGCCCTGCAGGTCAATGTACATCTCTTGGCGGCAGCAGCGGGTGCCCTCGGTCACTGGCACCTCGGGGTCACAATTGTCCTGAGCTCTGTGGGGGCAAGGAGAGGAGGAATCAGAAGTCAGTTGGGAGGGCTGAGGTCAGGGGACCCAGGACATGCCCAGTGGTGCATCTGGGAGGGAGACGTGTGATCCATCTCTCATGATGTTAAAAAAGCTGGATATATGTGATAAGGACTGATAACTGGAAATAACCAAAATATAAATAATATTGTGACTTCTAAGGGTCAAAGGAGAAATTTTATATATGCATTCATTCCTGTAGCACCCAGAGAAAAGATGCCCATTTCAATTTAAGTGTAACTCTCTATTTGTCCAGTTAATCAGCTCCACCCGTGACCCACGGCGCTCACCCGAAGTCCCTGAGGTCCAGGGTGTGCAGCTCCAGCTGGGGCTCACTCTGCCGGGTGTCCGACAGCCCCGGGGAGGCGAAGCGGACCAGCCTGTGGGCGCTGGAGGCCAGCGGGCCCAGGTGCTCCCTCTGCACCGACACCTGCAGCAGCAGTGGCTCCTGGGGCCGGCTCAGCTGCTGCCAGAAGTTCACGGCCTCGGTCACGTCGAAGGCCTTCCAGCCGCTCTCCTGGATGGACACCAGCCTGC